ATATACTATATCACAAACTTAAGCAGATATAGCTCTTTCAAACATGTTCACTATCATACCCCTTACTTTTCAAATGGACGTCATACTCACCCGATTCGCTTCATATCGCCTTTACGGGGTTCGGATCTCAGTCGTATTTGCGCGAAAGATTCTTCCAGGTCTTTGCTGTCGCTTGAGCTATACCCATCGTTATTGGAGGCACCCATAGTGCAACTATTATACCTCTACACGCCTTGAGACTTCAAGTGCTTAACCTACCTGTATTCTACCTCTATGTATGTATGTGCACATATATATACAGTTATACATGGTATATATATCTGTAAATAAGTATGCCATAACTTCCATAGCCTCCTCTAGAAAAACAAGGCTGGGCATGTAACTTCTGGTCAGTGAGCGCAGCATCCTGTTCGATTTAGGAGAGGCTAAAATATACATGTGCCGTCTTTTCATCGCCTCCTCTTGAAAATAAAGAAGGAGGCGCAAATCCTTCTCTATTCTTAAAAAAAAAACATATTTTAGTAAATATTAAACTACATACCAGCCACCAGGTATGCCGTATGTACTGGCTCAAATCTATATTTCTAAAAAACAAAACAAAACCAAAACCAAAAACAAAATATGCAGTGAGCACTTCTCTTTTTATTTAAAAAAAAACAAAAAAAACAATTTTGTGTAGTGCGCTTATTTGGAGTAAATTAGTATACGACTACTCGGAGGAAAACTACTGTGTACAGTAGCAAAAACCTCGTTTATTGTGTCGTTCACTACTCAAGTTGTAGACTCGAATGTGAACATTTCTGCTTGTTAACACAGCAATATTTATACTATACTGGTTGATCATACTTCCAAGTATTTCAAATTGTCCGCATCAACAATCCTCATGTTCTTCGATGCTAAACTTCAAGTGTACATTGCATGACATTTCTTTTGCCTTGCCGTCATCACACCTTATCAGGATATGCCACACTTGCAATACCTTATTTTTAAGTAGTCCATCACGAACATCTTTATAAGTATCTCATTCTCTACCAATCTCTTGTAGTCTCAAGTAAGTCATGTCATATATGTCCAAATGCACATTCATATCTGCCCGCGTACAGTCATGATCACGTTGTATTCACTTAACAGTGCAACATAACTTAAATTTAGTTTTAAGTGCAAATCATACACTTATAAACATACATATTAAAAGTTTGCCACAGAATCAATTTTATGACAATCTCACTTCCATAATTCAATGCAAGTTTACCGTCACAGTCCGACAAATATTTGTCCTATCCCAAGAGTAACTGAAATATGTATCAGTTACTCCGAGCATCGGTGTGCGCCTTACATTTGATCTTATTTATCCATACTTCCAAAGTTCCATGGCCTTCTTCTGGACAAGCGACAGAGGGACCTGAAAGCGCTAAACGCACAAATGAAGCAGTAATATTTAGGATGGGAACCGTTTCTATGCGTTAAAATGTGAATGGGAAGCGTTTAACCTAATATGGCTTGTAGCGTGACCAGATCTGCGTCACATTTTTTTTAATGATAAAAAGTTGAGCAGGACTTTGTCTCGATACATTATAGAGCTCTCTCTCGTCTACTACATACTCAATTACTCATTGAGTCATAGTATATAGCTATCACTCATATCAGTGATAAAAAAGAACAGCTGCATATGTATTTATTTGTCGTATTGACAAATATATCTTACGCGCCAAAAATAGACAGGGTTTAGGGTTTGCAAACTGCAATATATATTCTCCTCCCCCCCCCCCCCCCCCGGAGTATGTAAAGAATGATAGTGTATAATATGTAGAGCTATATAGTTATATAGTATATAGTAAACACTCTGCGTTTTATAAAGGTATATACTTCGCACATGTGACGTATATATCAAGTGCACACGGAAGTGTTGTCAGTCAGTGGCTCAATCGCACACAGACAACTGACACACCCCATGCAGCATACAGCGAATCACCAATCTCCAGAATTGGATAACTCATAATAAGTATAGCTATACCTTTTACACCAGTACTTACACACAGGGGATCGTAGATCGGACACTAAAAACTAATCACAAGTCTTACCTACACTTTCCTACGTCATACTCTCATCAATACACAACACCATATACACCGGCACACAGAGTACCCTCAATCTAACACAGCATGACGTGTGCATCTGCGAACATCAACTCCAGCGATATGTTCTCATTCTCATCTCGACGATCTAATGTATTTAGCACACACGGGATGGTAGGTAGTTCCCAACCGCTAGCGTCGGAGATAGGACTGTCAGTACTGAAGCGTGGGGGAAATGCCGCAGATGCAGCGGTTGCCATGGCAGCGGCGCTGAATGTCACGGAGGTAGGTGTGTATGGAAGGTGCATACCCAATAGGTATACTTAGGATGTGAATGTGTGTGCATGCATGAATGGATTTCCATGTATCTGTCTGTATATCGCCACATAGGACATGTACATGGTCATAGCACACGCGTGTTGGAAATTCATCTAAGAGTTTACCTGTGATAAAAACAGTTGCTATGCCTAATGGTACTTACCCATGCTAATTGTTTGCGGTGCTGATTGGAATGCGATGTTCTATATAT